AGCGCTGAGGGTGACTCCCCAGGGCGGGAAGCACTGGCGCCCTCGCGAGCAGCGCGAGACGTTTCTTCCTCTTGGGAGGTTCGACTCGACTCCCTGCAAGCGTCATGGTTACGTGGATGGCGCCCACCTGGTTCGGTCGTCGGATGAACATGATGAACTTGGACTCGCCCTTTTCACTTTCCACATGTCTTGTATAGTCTTATAGCCCCTCTCAAGACTCTAGGTTCATGAAAATGATCACCCTTCCGGGGCCATTTTCCACATTGCCCCACGATGATTCCAGGGAGTGTATCTTAATCTTCCACTACTTCATGACGCTGGAGATGGAGATGTTCCGACGACCGGCTCGAGCACCAGGCGGCAAAAAGGAAAGGTCCAGGTCCCTTGGCTATGCCCCGGACTCATGGACGGGTTGATGGACTTGAAGGACCGTTTTTCAGCTCAGGTGCTTTTCAGCTCAGGTTGATGGTCCTTGTCTCTCTTTCAGGTCATCACATCCGACCCAACTCGGCGACCGACCGTGCTGGGGTAAGGGCGGACGCAGGTCCGCGGGGTTGGCCCCAAAGGATGTTCTCCGATACTCATACTGGACCTTCAAGGGGTGTCCAATCCAGGTCCCTTAGTGACCCCTTGGAAGGTGCTGGTGCCTGGATCTTCCAACTCTGCAACATTTACACCTTGTCATCTACCCGTTTGGCCTCCAGTCGTAAACTGGATCGACTTGAAAGCAAATAGCATAGCTCATAGCTCATAGCTCATAGCAACCCTCACATCAAAACGCAAAACGCCGTCAAAAATTCCAAAACACCGCCTCGTGACACTCCAAGTCATCAGCCATTGGCCTGGAGTTCGCAAGTATGTGTGTGTGTGGTCAGCTAGGTATCTGGACTCATAGCCATCTGGGACTTCTATGGATCAATGAAGAACCAGGCTCATATAGCCGAACTCTTGCATTAAATCTGGCAGTCCCGGTTGCTCATTCCAGGCCTCCAACGGGCTGTCAGTTTTGGGTGACTCTTCTGCGGGTATAGGAAGTGTAGGGTAAGTGGGACAACCAACACAGTGCTCCTCAAACTAGAGACAAGCAGATTCGGATTTATTTGGAAGACGGTTTATTGATAGGATTCACATGGATTCACTCTGATTCAAACGCTTGGTTCGGCCTTGGGACCCCGGACGACGGTGGCATTCCGCTGGGAGTTTGAGACTGCCAAAGTCCATGCAGCGAGTGATCTGCACGCTGCCCAGCCGGGCTGGCCTTGGTTCAGCACTGGCGAGTGAGCACAAAGAGTGGAACTCCTTTGTGTTGCTCCTCACCGTGTTGCCGTGTTGCCCGCTTTTGAAGCCCAGTGTAGAGTTGGTTTTGATATGTTTTGATCCTCGGTGGACAAACTGCCATCCGACTGCGAACATCAAACACGCTCCCTACACCTCCAAGCACCTTCTAAGAAGCTGTGAAGCTGGTGGGTTTGGAGGGTCCAGTCATACCGTCTGGGTTAGTGTTGCATGGACCGGTGGGGAGTCGTTCGATCCTTCGCTCGTGTCCTTGGGTACTTGGACCTACACGACTAACACAGAGAAAGAAAACACACGCATCACTGCACAACACATCTAACACTCTGATGTCAGGAATCTGTGCAAGGTCTTTAGTGTGTAGAATATGTGGCTCAAACTTAATTGAAATGCCTCTCTTTGAAAGCAAAGAAAACCGAACCTTTGTTCGTGATCACTCATCGATTGATTGAGGGAACAGCAAAATACCTTACGCTTGGTTCGCCAAACGCACGACCGATCCCTGCATCGATCTCTACATCTCCACAACACTTGGAACATGCCCCCCCGAACCGGAAAAAGAACATGTCTGCAGAACACCACCTCACCCACGCCGAAGCTTCACAACCACTATAGTGAGTAATCAACGCCACTCCCAAACCATCCGACCGGAACACTTATATACCATATCTTACCATCCATGGATGGGTCATCATGGATCATGGGGTCAACTGATTAATCGGCAACACTTCCAGTTCCATGGATGGTCAACGCCACTCCCTAGGGATCTGTTCGACACTGTTGTGTAGGTGCCAAAACGTCGGGTCGTTCGTCGTACCGAACCTGAGGTTCGGTACGACTCGATCCCTACAAACTCCACGAAACCGCACGCAGGACCCGGCGCGCTGGGTGTCCCTTGCCGAGCCGGACCCGGGCTCGCCGTCGTCGGTGTCCACGGACAAGTGGGGTCCTGGCCTCGGTTGTGCAGCAGGTGCAGCAGGTGTGCACGTGTCTTGGGTCTGGGGGAGGGTTGGGGGAAAACATAATGTTTTTTTGTAAGAGATGCTTGGAAGTTATCATAGATTTCTAGAGATGGATGTACAATGATGTACATTGTATTAACATCTGAAGGGCTGGTTGTAAGTTGTTGGGACATGCTGGGACTCATATTGAATGTTTTGCGTAGCCTTCAAGAGGTCGTTCTCCGGTTTGGAACAAGCTTCATCATGTGCATGTTCTGATCACGTCGTGGGATGTTGTGGATGTAAATCCAGCCAAGCTTGCACGTATTTTTTCTAACTAGGACCTTCCCCTCTCTGATCTTTATCTGTCCCTGTATAGCTACCTCATATCTACGAAGTCTCTAAGTTCTACTTGAGAAACACAATGGCAGCTTTAGAAAAACGTAGACGGCTTGGTCAAACCGATTTTGATCGAAGCTGGGGCCCATCTGGCTGGCGGCCCATGCGCAGGAAAAACCTATTGATGCGCAGCATCCTGAACTCCGTGGTCTTGTAGATCCCACCTTTGGTCCCTAGGGCTGCAACTATATCCCCACAAGGTGGTTGGGGTGGGTGGGGATTGGGGTCTAACCACCTCCTGAGGAGATGGGCCAGGAGCCCTAGGGGATGTTCACTCTTTTGTTCCTCCTGCCGCAGGTCTTTTTCCAAAGCGCTGTTTCACAGCGCCACCCCTTGGACCGACCACACGGCGGGTTTGTTTACGCCAGGAAAAAGCGGCCCAGGTAGCTGTGTGACTTGAGGAAAGCACCCAAACTGCTCCAGAAGTAGCACGGAAATATATAAGCAAAAGCCAAACCTCGTGATGCACATAATGTCATGAGCAACATAGGTGCTGATTGCGTGAAGCTACAGCACGAGATTAAATAATGCACCATCTATGGTGGTCGACCTTGGAACGGTGAGATGGTCATTACCAAAGGTAGTGCCTCAAAACAAAAATGGTCCCCAGCACCCTGTCTATATTGGGTCTATCCTATTACCAGTAACAGTGGATAGGTGTTTTCCGCTTTCCATCTTAGTCAGCCAAGATTCATGGCCGAGGACGACTAGTCAGCTTGCGCGTACTAGGGGCCCAATACCAATAACAGTGGATGATGATGCTTAGTAAAGGCCTTGTTCAAAGATAGTGATAATTGTAATTGCTGACTCTTATAACTTACAGGTAATAGTTTGCTAGGACGGACAAACCCAACATACTATATGCCCACATTGACCCCGGGTAACCCTACCATGTAGCTCTCTCCAGCCTCTTCGTGGAGTTGGTTTCCACCCACCGGGAAAAAGCACTGCCGAAATCCCAGCACTGCCCGCAGTGGACATGCCTGTATAAGTATATAGTATGACAATGTATGACAACTATACCAGGACCCTCCAAGGGGTGCCCAATGGAAGCCTATAGGTAGTGTGGGGTCAGTAGACCCATGCAGAGCTGCAGATGGATCCCACACACCGGCCGAGCCGTCGAAGGTCACCGGACCGAACGAGCCGGTGCTCGTTTCTCGTAGACTTGTGATCAACCAAGCACGTTTTGAATTGAACAACCTCTTTATATAAGGGGGCTTACCAATCAAGAGGCTACATACATGAACTTTCGAAGTGGCGACAGGCTGACAGGCTTGCCAATTTGGTGATGGACGGCGTATGCTGCTTCTAGACGCACCGTTGGGTTATGCTGCTTCTATGCTGGGCAGTTGAGGATCTCTCCAACGGATTCTCGCACAATGCTGTAAAGAACTCAAGTAGGTCGATGATGGAAGGCCCCCAGCTATGGCGCAACTATCCTAATAATGTCTTTGGAATGCTTGGACTTTCGCCACTTGAAGATATAGTGTGTATACTTAGCTAATATACAATCATATTAATATATATATATATGTATGTACATGTACATATGCATTGTATGTGATTATCTTTTTAATCAGGCCCTCTGTCCACATCTCAGTCGTTCTCTGATGTGGAGCATCAAATGGTGTCTGCTGTACCTGCGTTGCCCAAGTGGCTGAGACAAGCTTGAATTTGTTACCCTCTCTTCAGCGGCGGTCAACCCAAAAGGGGTAGCAATCCAACAGTCCAAAAGGAGTATGTCCACCTTACATCTATACTTTGACTTTGACACCACAAAATAACTTTTGCAGAATCGGCAAGGGTTGGTAATTTGATGTAATTTGTCCTCCCATGTGACCAGTGAAAACCTAAACAGTATATATAATACAATATATCCTAGAATCTCCTGGAAATCCAAGACCATAAAAAAAATGATGGACCTGGTGTCGTAATGCATTTGCTTTAGTAAAAAATGACGGTTCGGTAAAAACCTTTAAATCAATGGTGGTTGGAAGCCTATGGTATTTATATAATATATATATATATCAGACCTGCAAAGTATTTAATATACCATATCAGCACTCCTTCTGTGATTCCTGCGTGACCAACGTAACCTTAGACAGATCTTTTTGGGGTTCTCGATGGAGAAAAGCTATGCAAAGAATCAGTGTCCAAGAACCCAGGATGACGCACTCATTCAGGATGAGTAGGTGCAGAACGTCTTCAATATTCTTGGCTAAAGTATGCTAAAGATATCTGTGTGCAGAAGCATTCTCAACCTTCGTACATGTCCAGCTTCCATTGGAATTGTTGCACCTTGGGTGCAAAACTCTGCTACAAAGAATGGACCATCGATGACCATTGTCTTCCTTAGAATCAGCCATACTCCCAGCGGTCGCTGCACTCTGAGACAGCTCCCCAGCACTTGACTCCTTCAGTATGCCTGGAAAATAAAGCTTAACCTTCTTCTACCTAAAGGTCATCCACTGACTGGGTATGGCACGAGACCAACCAACATAGCTCTGACCCGCGCACCGCGCATCGCTCGTGTCTTGTGCCACTTTCTCCCCGCTCGTCTCCGCTTCATGGCCGTGCGGAAAGCCTGACATTTTTCGCGCCGCCACATGTGCTTCGCAGTTGTGGCTGGGAGCAGTCCCGTTTTCGCATCCTTCTGTTCCGACCTTTTGAGGTTCAGAGCCGTGCCACCTGAGCTGAGCTTCAAAAACCGAAGATCAGTGATCCGTTTTCAACCAGTGCCGTGCCACCTGAGCTGGCCAACTACTACCTAGCCACATGAAATCAAACATGGACGGCTGGTGGACATTCAAGTTATACCAAACGCTCCATGGGACTGCCGTATATGCCAACATTGGGGTGGTTTGGGGGGTCAATGTAGGCATATATTCCATAATTACATGGAGTGTATGGGATAGGTGCATGGTGTCTCGCAAGCTGCTTTTTTCCGACATGCCTGACATTTGTGTCTTCAGGCCTGACATAGGTGTTGCACTGGGACTGACTCCGACTCTAACCCAAAAAACGTTGGTGAAACCAAAAGCACCGACGTGCTTCCACCATCTGGCCCATATCGGCACTCTGCTCATCGGGTTGCGCTGAACACTGCTTGGTGTTTTCCCACAACAACAGCTGACCCCCGAGCCCTTTTTCCGACATGAAAGGGGAAGCGAACTTTCCATGTAGTTCATGGTGACATGCGGATCCACTGATGGGGTAGGACGGAACAGTGAGCATCCGTACTGGGGGAGGGGAGGCCACAGAAAATGGCATGTTAGATTCTGTTAGAAAACATCGATCTGCAAATGTCAGGGTTACATGGACCCTCAGAGTACTCCGAGACGTAGGTACAAGCACCTTTGAAATAGGATGAGGCTCCCATTGTCTGGCGTACTTTGGCGGATCTAGTTTCAAGGGCCCGAAGCGGCGTACTTAGGCAAGCGGTTTTTCTCATTGCTTTGGTTCTTCTCTTTCCCCGGTATGGCCGAGGAATGCAAAGATGAAGCGATCCTGAAACAGTGGTATATACTATAACGGTCTTTAAAGGAACAAAAACGACTGAACACTATGTGACACGTGCAGTTGTATATACATACTTGCACTGTCCTTGATCTTATGCTCACAGGTTGTCGGATGTCAAATGCCTAGAAATCCAGCCAAGAGGCTCCTTTTACACTCTTAGCAGCGGTGGATCATAACTACCAGGTGGGGTAGAATGAGTCACTGGATGTCTCTGGGAATATATACTTCATAACTACAATAGTAAATGGACCTGAGGCGCAGCAAAACATGCACCACAACATTGTCTGTCCTGACCATTCAGAATAATCTATTAGACAACTTTAGAATAAATAAGCATTGAGTAACAGTTTATAATTATGAAACACACATACAAATAATTAGAAATTATATTAACCAGCAAACAAATGGACACAAAAAGGAATTGATTTCTCTTATAATTAGGTGCATTTGACTTGCATGTTTCGCTATGTTTTATTTTCCATGTGTTCACAAATATTGAACAGCAGTGCCCATTCTTTACCAATTTACAGTAATTTACTGGTGAACTAACTATTGTTCCTTATTTGCTCACTGATGTTTCACGTGTTCGCTACTTTTCATCAGGCATGTCGCCTTACCACTATTGATCTACAGTATGTTCAATTTCTCGCAATTCCTACTTGGTTTTGAATGGTTCTTTTCAACATTTCAGGCATCGCGCCTTCAAATGCCTCCAATTGATGCATATTGATGCATATCTGGTTGGCATCACCCTATGGAGATGCTCTGCACATGGCAACTGGGGGGGCCTGAAATAAACCAAGCAAATGAACCTGCAGGGGTGCCACTTTGGATGACTGAGGTGCTTGAGATGATTCCCGTCCCAATGTGGGAACAAGACACGCACAAAACACACAGCAACACCAAGGACTCAGCTTCAACCTCGCCACCGCAAGAGGCTATCACCGGTGTCGTCGATGTCATCCATCTGGAGCATCTCATGCTGCTCCATGTGACTCACGGACTCCAGAGTGTCCACGAAGCGAAGGTGGAAATCTGGAAGGGAGATATCGTTCATGTCCTGCATGGTGGGGCGGAAAGGCCCGGTCAAAGACCTGCCAAGCAAAACCGAAGACCCAAGTCAAAGGGGAGCTGAAGATGAACTAGGAAACACGACTGTGACAAAAGTTACGGGATCTGCTCAGAATATACGCTTGAGGATCTGGAAAACAATAGAATACCAGAAGCGGATTCCCCAGTAAGAATATGAGTTGGGTCTATCCTATTACCTGTAACAGTGGATGATGATGGTAAAGGCCTTGTTCAAAAAAAATGATAATTGTTTACTGACTGTTGTAGATAATAGGACAAACCCTAAAAAAAAATGGGAAAAACATGGAAAAACATTAAACAACCCGATCCGCACAACCTAGGAAAAACACACAAAAATGAGGTTAAAAGCCTGGCTGGTTGGTTGGGGCCTCCCTATTCCGATACACTCCCATGCATTTGATTTGGACGAAGCTCATGGCTGGACAACCCAAACCCAAACGCAAGAATCTAATAAAAAATAAGAAGCTCTGGCTTCCTATCATGGTGGACAGCCACCGGTTTGTGCACGTGTAGAAAGTATGTTGGAGTGTAACAATCGGTTGAGCTGACTGCGGCTTCTCTTGTCTCTCCTGGCCGAAGGGGTTCTCAAGCTCTTTGGCCACTTCGTTCATGCACCAAAGGCTTTCAAACAAAAAGAAGCACAGAACAGGGCCCACCACCAACGACTTGGTGAAGACGATTACGTACCTGGGCAGTCAAGAATCGACTGGTTTCTTCGCAAATTCTTCATCTGGGCTGGTGAGGAAACAACATTTGCTATATAACTATTATGGACCATGTATCTTTCTTTCTCTCTCTCTCTCTGTATATATATATATATATCTCTCTCTCTCTCTCTCTCTCCCCATCACCCTCTGCAAGAGTTGAGGCATTTGGCTAAGGCAAGCCTAAGGCCGTATTGCATACCATTATCCCATAATTGCAATCTAAACTCTAAACCAATCTCCCCCAATCCTCTGACCGAATCCTCTTCTGAATCGGAACTCCTCCGGCCAGAAACTTTGCACAACACAAGGCCCTACACCTTCAGCGGCACAAAGCTATGGGTGATAGAACCCTCAGCGGAACCACTCTCCTATAACAGGTAGACAGCCTGCTTGTCACTGTGCAGAATGATGGAAGGTGGACTATTCAACCTGGTACTGCACTGCATGACCACCTATCCCAAGGTCTCCTTTGGAGCCGTTCCAAGCTGCAGTGGGATGAGCAACGAAAAGGCCACCAAAGACATCAGCAACAGCTGAGCAAAGGGCAGCGGAAATGGCACGTCTGCAATCTTGAGGCAGTTGTTGAAGCCCAACATGCCATTGGACAACTCCTGCGCAGAGGGCATCGGGCATCCAAAGTCAGTGCCGAGCCAAGGCCCGACTTGCCATTGATGTAAGGATCCTTAAGACTTGGACCCTCACAACTCGCCAACATCAAGGTGTCGAAGAAAGAAAAAACCACTCACTCTCTCAGAGGGTGGCAGTATGTGGCAGTGGATCCATAGGGCAAACATGGGCAAATGATGGCAAATGATCATCTCTGAAGCAAAACACTTCCAAACCTCTATCGGTGCAGCTTTTGTCCTCCGGTCCTGATACATTCGAGTCTGGATCGGAGGGGCGGTGTCCAGTTCCTTCATGACGCTGGCTAAGTCCCAAGTGATCCAATACCTTGGGATCATGATCAATTGACTCTGAAAATCGGCAGGATATGTGGAAATCGGAATCCTCAGCAGGTGATCAGATATTGTTATAAATAGATATATGATAGATAATAATATATATACTTCAAGAACCCTAAAGTTTACGCTTCTTACTCTGCTCCAACATGACACTTGCGGTCCTACAGCGGATCGGATTAACACGTCCATTTTGCGTGGCAAGTACAGCACGGTCAGATTTCCACACCCGTTTAAATTTATAATATACTTATAAGGCTTTCAGGTGTGGAAATCTGACCGCAACTTAGGTGTCGACATGTTGCACGTAGGATTCTAAGGGGAAAGGGTGTGTGATGTTTTAGAAGTCAAGAAACGCAACTTTTGGCACCCCAGTGTGTATATATATATATATATATATTCCAAGTCCCCAAGTGATCCAATTACCCCATCTCATCTCGGCCGATTTCTGCCGCCTTGAAGAAACGGTTTTTTCGCGGGTCGCGGGGACCCTTGGTCCTGGAGGATCCAAATCTGAAGAAGTTACGTCGACAGAAAATATGTGAAGAAAGTGTGCCACTTTAAGCGCCTCCCAGGCACTGGAACTCTAGGACACTTTGCTACGAGTAGTCACCGGACTTTGAACTAGGCACTGGAACTGTCCTCATCCGAATATCCCTGAAGCATCCTGAAGCCCTTCGATCTTCCCCCAGTCTCACTCCCTCTCTTTCTTCCAAGGGAAAAAGGCAATCCGCATCCCATCCCCGCCTTGAGTCCCGAACAAACCGCACGAAATCGCACGCACCGTCCACCGCCACCGTCCCGGCGCTTCGAAGGACACCACCGGCGAGGTCCGGTTTCTTCGCGCCGTGGGGCATCACCGAGGACACCGGGTCATTGGACCTGGCCAGCAGATCCATCTGCTGCGGTGACGGCTTGCGGAAGAGGACGAAACCTCAGAAGCCGGCGCCGGCTTTTTTTCGGGTCTTTCGCCAGCGGCGAAGTGGCCGGGCTGCGAGTGTTTGGGTACCGGCGACGTCCATGAGTTCTCAGGGTGAGCATGGCAACCTTCAACCCTGTAAGAGTGCTACATTCTACATAATATAGTGGATGAAGAATGCGCGGTGCCCAGAAGACTTGGAGCACGAGAAACTGTTGATGTTCCCCCCAAATGTGCATCATGCTCCATCCCTCAGGTGGAAGTCTAAGTCTCCCTCCGCCTCATCCAGTCGTCTAAGTTCCTGGCTCATGACCTTCTTCAAGCCCCGGTCGAAGTCCTTCCGTTCTACAAAGGCCGGCGGCTGATATCCCTGCGGCGGCAGGCCCGTCTTGAGGATTCGGACCTCGACCTTCCCAAGGAGAAGTGGTGTGGAGGCTGCTTTGAAGCATCCCTTTTTTCGGGTCTAGAGTGGTATCCACTGGCTTCCAAGCCGTTTCCCTGGAACATCAAGTTGAACCACCTGTTCACTTGAAGTGGCAAAAAAACATCCAAAAAAATGCTAAATATATATATATATATACTAATGCTAGACAATTGGAAATCTGGCCATGGATATTTCCAGCTCACTTTTGGGGGGCTCTGAGGCACAAGGATTTGGCCTACGAGAACCAGCTTGTAAGTCTTTTACGCAGCCTCGTGCAACCTCAACGGCATTTTTGAGGCTATGGAACTGATGTGGACAAGCAAGGGTCTTTCACCCAGTGGGTCTGACAGAAATTGAAGATCCGATTGACGAACGTGCACAAAGAGGCTTGGGAAACTCATGTGCACAGAGGCTTGGGTCGAATCTGAACTGGATTCGGATGTGCTAGGAATCAACGAGGCTGGGGGTGGCTTTGGAGGGCCCAGGTACCTTGTGAACCTGCACGAGGACGGGCCACTGACATGCCCTTGAATGTGGGACATGACCCGAAAGAGCAAAGATCCAAGTAGTTGGAGGGGTGTTGGAAGTATAGATCTGGTCGAAAATTGTTGCAGCCAAACTCAGTGTGGTTTTTGTAAAGGGTCCTGATGGAGGTGTACCAAACCCACCTCAACTATCTTCTCGTGGGGTCGTTGAAGCTCTTCTTGTGAGGCCGTTGAAGCCCTACCTAGAAACAGAGTGACCTCAATTTTGGACCACATGCCGCCAACCACCACAAAATATGTTTATTGTCAGTCATCAAAACAAATCAGAGCAGCGGGTCAACATGGACTCTCAAAACCACTGGCTTGTAAAGGAAAATGGTCCTCCACAGTCTCCACAGGGAAATGTTCAGGGTCCATGTTAGTCTGCACAGGGGTACTATAGCGGATTGGGGTCCTCCAACTTGCATAAGGACATAGGGCTTAAAGCCGGCCATGTCGACCATGTTGGCGCCGTGGATGAACCGCCAAATAATGTGAACCACCAGCGTTGGCACCACTCACTGCCCCAAACCATCCATGGGAACTGGTGTAGCTATACATTACATGCATATCGGGCATCAATGAGGCAACTGAAACTGTCATTTGTCCAACCAAATCTGCCAAGTTCGCAGCCCAAAACCTCGCCTCCGCCTCCTTCTCCACCCGCATGGCGTGCCGGCTGCGAACCTTTCTCGACATGTCCTCGGGCTTCGGCTCGTGCGACTCCGGCTTGACGAATGGGGAAGGCCTTGCCCTACACCGACCCGACGTATTGGGCCCCGGGCCCCCAGTCCCAACTTCTTGGACTGAGATCGGATCCCCGGAACCGTTGCGTTTCTGAAGACTTCGGTGAAGCCCTCGGTGATGTAACCAACACGTTCCACCTGTTGGAGGCAAAAAAGACGGACTGGACCCAACACGTTCTCCCCCCGAAAAGGGTCAAATCCACAGCCACACACTGGGTATTTGTGAGAAAAAAACATTGAGGTCTTTGCGTGGGTCGGCCTTTGTGCAGGGAGCTGCATGAAAAATGGCGTGCAATGTTCGGAAAACACACACACAGCAGGCTGCAAAGTCTGCAAAAACGCAGACTAGTGGACTTAACCTAAAACTAAAAGAAACACATAACATATACAACTGTCATGCGAGTCATGCATCATTATTATCTTGTGCTTTGTTTTGGTCTAAGTCTGGATTCCATGGATCATCTCTTGGGCCTTCTTGGGCCTCGCTTTCTTTGACCCTTGGGTAGGAAAGGACCATGTTGTGGTGGTAGTCCACGGCAACCATCAAACAGGTTCTAAATGGTTCCCAGTTCCCAGTGAGTTAGTTCTATATATGATTGTGTGTATGGATGTGTTTGTCCATCTATGGATACATGTATACTGTATGGCTCTATGGATGAATGCAATTGGGTAAAGGCAGGTAGGTAGGTAGGTAGGTAGGTAGGTACGTATAGGTGGATAGGTGGGTATAGGCACAACATGGTACAACGTGTGCCTCCGTCTGTGGTGCATGTCAATCCGTCAAGCTCTGCTCTCGCCCTCAGCTCCTCGATGAGCTGGTTGTCCCCATGCGAAAGCCGTTCCGCCGCCATCGCCGAGAGCAAGGCAAAGTTCAGCTTGAGCCTCCTGTGCATCACGTCGCGGAGCCCAGGCGTCCCGTTTCCCGAGTGCTTCGGGCTTCGAGCGGATTTCACCGCAAACGTGTCACACCATTGACACTCCCGGCTCATGGCTCATCCTGGCTCATCCATTTCGGATGATGACCATGTTCCGAAGAGCAAACAGGTGGTGTTTTTCCACTTCCATGCGAGTAGTCGGAGTGTCTCTTCGTTCATTCGAAGTGTGTTATATATGTGTTGATTCAACAGAGGTAGCAAGGAATCCTATCCAAGACAACCGGGCGCATCCTTTTCACCGCTTGAGGCAACGATGGTCCCTGCGAGACACGAATGGAGCTCCTGTGCAAAGTCAACACTGGTTATAATCTTTCCAATCTTTTCTTTCTCTTCCAGTGTTTCTACAGCCGTCTCAATCAACCGTCATCTCATGCCTTGAACTCTCTCTTCATGGAGGTGCCTGGAATGATCGGGGCTTGAGACACTCCGTGAGCAGCATCATAATGGCTCAAATAGTCCACGAGGTCGCGGAGGTGTCCCTTGGCACCTTTTCCATGATCCTTACACCATTTGGTGTAACCTTGACAGCGGCTTTCTGAACTGGAAGCGAGCTCATAGTAGGTCATGTTCTGCTTGCCAAACTGACCGAACTTAATCAGTGTCTTTCCCCAGGTGGCTACGTCCGGAACTCCCGCTGGGAGCGATGGGAGCTCTGTGCTATCCATGGTGTTGACCACCTCCCGATGGGTCAGAGGAGATGACCCGAACTCTTTTTCCAGCGACTTGAAGGTGTATCCACCTCCTTCAACTGAGTCCAGTGCATCTAGACTCAAGGCACTCTTTTTGGTGAACGGATTTTCATCGGTGCCTTCATCTCGGCGTTTGCAGCTGTCGGCCATCGTTCCTCCAGTAGGCTCAACAAAGGAGAATTCACTGTCGAACTCGGAGGATGTGGCACCAATCTGAGGGAGTCCTAGCTGAGACAGGGAGAGACCCTGGCTGTGGGCTTTGCGTAGCAGCTCCTCCAGCTGCTTCTGATCTTTGGCATTCCATGCCATCACACAAAAAGGGGCTCCGGAGCACGGATCACCAACAAGATCTTATTGTTTCACAAGACCTTGACTAGGTCAAAAACTGCTTCGGCAGATGACTTGCGTACAAAAACCATGCAAACACAGTGACTGACTATGACTCTCTTAAGCGCACGACACTCAAAACCTGCACACACGAAAACAATGATTCCCTGACATTCGTTTTCAAAACGTGTGTAGACCCAAGGAACCGAAGGTCGTCTTGCCAAGTCTATTCTTCAGGAGTTTGGATGCTAGTCACTAATTTATCAGGGACCTTAGCTTCGGGCTGTCGCTTTTGGCGGCGAAGTTCTCTCTCCGCGGCTTGTTGCTCGAGGACATGAGCTTCTGGAGAAATCTGATAGGATCCAGCTCTCACGCATGATCTTAGAAGATCAACTGGATCCGCTCGGTCCTTTGTCAGACCGTCAGCAAGCATTCGATCTGTTGGAAGCCAACGAATCACTCCATTTGTCAACAACAGAGACTCTCGAATGATCACGATGTCGATACTCGTTCGGCGGTCTTCCACCGCTGTAGGTGACGATGGTGATATCAGGTGGTCGAACAGAGATTTGCAATCCGTTGCATACAGAGGAGGTCGCTTGGCCAACAGGTCACGGCCTTGGCGTGGATCGAAATGTCCATCTAAGGCCTCACACAAAAGTAGGCTCAGCCATTCTACTGTCCCACTGGCGGTGGCCATTGCTTGACTTTCTCCAGCTAATGTTGAACTTACCGCTCTACTCATACGATAGCTACGCCATACAGCTGGGGTCCATGGGCCAAGCTTACCTTTATTCATGTCTTGATCTACGAAAGCAAGGATGTAACCAGCTTGAGTATGGGTGCCTACATTCGCGAAGGCTGCATCAGAATGACAGCATATTGTCAACCTATCAGGACTAATAGTTTTGAAGCGGATTTGAAGGTCACGATTGAGTTTGGCTCGACGCACTGCATTATTCACATCTCTGAGGTGTCGGATGGTCGGCCGTGGAAATGCTTGTTGCGACAAGCTGGTCTGCACCGCCAAGTCTGGGCGTGACTGAGATGCTAGCCAATTGAGGCTACCATTGATTGCTCTGAGAACTCGAATCTGTGATTCGCTCAAGGGATCCTCACACGCAGCTCCTTTGGGAATCTGTGCAGGACGTAATTTCTCTGCGAATAGCTTCTGAGACATGCTAATTTCCCCTTGTTTGTTTTGTGTGTAGTAGCTACCACAAAATTCGCCCTCAGAGATTCTCCATTTCCGATACGGAAATCGAGCACGCAATTGCTTGACTGCTGACTCGAACACCTCACCAGTACCTCCTAAACAGGTGTCATCAACATGAACCCCCATGACTCCAATCAGCTTACGGTTATCAACATCTCTCAAATAGTACAGGCATGGATCGAACTTGGAGCGAACCCAACCGATTCGAAGGGCCTCTTCATGGAAAGTCTTGTACCAAGCTGATGGTGCATCATTTTGACCATAGACGTTACCTAACACCTCGATGACCGCCTCCGACGGCACACCTGGGATGCCACCAGGGGGTTGTTTGGCGTATAGGGGTCTGTATTTGGGGTTCAGTGGACCTGCTTCGAGAAAGGCACCCTTGATATCTCCGAGTTGGAGCGTCCACTGGTGTGAAGCTATCAATTGCATCAACAACATACGACCCATTTGGCTCAGTGTCGGAGACTGCAGGAGGCCTTCTTGTGCTTTCTGATCTAAGTCCGGATCGAGATGTCCTTGCAAACACCAACGGCTCTTGATCTTGTACGTGGAAGGTTTGGACAAGTCAATATGCTGATTCTCTTCAATGGGTTTCCGAATGATGACAAATCGGGATCCCATGAATCGGTCGGCTTGTTCTTCTTTGATCTTTTGAGCCTTCTTACCGTAGTAGATTCGGACTACCCCTTTCTCCAACAGGGTTTGCCATTCTACAGTTTTGGATGCATCTACTTCTTTTTGAACATCAGGTGGATGACCACTATGATGGACCTCTTTGGACAACTTCTTTTCCATGTACTGTGCAATCATGATTTCTATTTCCACGGTGGGATCATCCCAGCTGATCATCAGTTCTCCTACATCTTGGACTGACAACACTTCGGAGCTGGGTTCTGGTCTAGCCCTTTGAGCTGGTGGTTGTGACTCCGTGGACAGCTCGGCTTCGGATGGACTGCGCTTATGCTCTCCGGTTGGTGCGGCATCCAAGAGTCGAGGCACCACCTCTCGCATCATGTCTACGAAATCTTCGTGCTTCATGGCAGATGGTCGATACAACGCAGCTCCATGTGATTTTCCTTCTACTCGGTGTCTGATAGGTCCATAATGATACGAGGTCGATCCGGCCTGAGACTCCTGGTTAGCCTTGAAACCTGAGCTCGACGAAGATCCACTGGCAGATGAGGGGTGTTGCATGATGACATCAGTGGGGTCTTCATGGACTTTTGCATGTTCTGGGGTCATGGGAGACTTGTCAATGAGGGTGGGATCTTCCGATGCCTCATCATGACCCTTGGTCTGTTCAGCGGACTTCACTGCCGGCATTGGAGAGTCTTGGACTTGATCGCTCTCAGGCACTTCAGTCACTTGCTCTGCATCGGACTGTGCTGGGTAACTTCCGGGGACGAGATCTATGTATTGACTACTACGGAACGTACCTCCTTCGATCAAGTCACGGATACCTAGCAGCTCAGCCTGTGGTGTCTTGACTAGTGCTTGTTCTTCATTTGTAGCTGGTCTCAACTGTTCAGGACCCACACGAAAAATCTGTTTCCTATGGACCACTAGATAGTTCTTTCCTACGGATCCTAACACCACAGCTGTGCCCCACCATCGGCCCCCTTGGATTACACCTTCAGGAGTATATTTCTGTGCTCTCCAGTAGGCCACCAATGCTCCTGGTTCGAATTGGATGTGCTTACGCGGCCGTGCCGCCAGAGCGCGACGAAGGGCCTGATCGTCTTGTGTCTCTAAGACGGCCTTTCTGGCAGCGAAACGAATCGCCTGTGCTGTAGCTACGGCATCATCCGAGAGACTGGCTGTGGCAGGAACAACTCCTATGGGTTCATCCAACAAATCCTGAGGGATATTGGGATTCTTGCCGAACACATATTGGTGAGGCGTGTATCCATAGAATTGGATCATTGAGTTCTTGACGTGACTCTGCAACACACATTGTTCCCATTCTGCTCGAGTTGAGGGCACTCTGGACTGCATCGTCTTTTCCAACACTCGTGAAAACCAGCCCCCATGTGTTTCTGTGCGTCCTAATTGCCAATGAGCCTCTCCCGGAAGAGGCCGAACATAAACACCTAGATGTTCCAGGTATCTTTGCAAGGGCTCGCCTAAGTTCGTCTGGGCCGAATCCATGACCACTTCCTGAGGTGGTCCGAACACACGAATCCAGTGCATGGCCAGCAACCGTTGGATCAGTTCTGAAGTCTCTCGTTCAAAGAAGGGAATCATCAGTTGATAACAACTGCCATGACAAACGATGTTGAGTGCTTTCACCTTCTGATTGGGACGCCAACCTTGTAGATACTTGACATCGATGCCTATCACTTGATTGAAACCTGAAGGTCGACTAGCTTTAGAAGGTAGCGGGACATGAGGTCTTTGCTGGGCCTTACACAAATCACATGAATGTTGTCTCGCTAAACTGATCGCTTGTTCAGAGGCATGGGCATGCTTCAACACTCTCACGAGATCCTCGGTTGGCGGATGGCCAAGATTGCGATGGACTCGATCGATCACTTTCTTAATATCAGCTTCTGTGCCCTGATTTAGATCGGCCTTGACCATCATCACTTCTTGGATGGCCTGTGACGGGATGGCATCACATGGCACTTGCAAACTCTCGGAGGCTTGTCGGTAGCTGGGCAGTGTTCGCAGAACCGCCTGAACAAAGGCTGGAGTATATTGACCGGCAAAAGTGCTGACCTGACCTACCGACGGATGGGTGCCAGCTACCGGAAGATGACACTGATGATGTGCATGTTTTTCCCCAGGGCACTCCTTAGCTAGATCAAGCATACCATCACCGGCAATGAGCAGTTGGGTGGCTTTGCGAATCAATCTCTTATCCCCTGGAACCCGAAGACCATATCGGCACATATGGCATTTGATCACTTGACATGTATCGAGGAGTTCTCTGACTTCGGGATATTGCCAAATCTTGGACCCTAAGGGGTGTTCCAGCATTACACGACCACCATGGCTGAGTTGATTCCTGATCAACTTACAGCAAAACTTCACGAAGATTCTGCTTCTGCGGATCCGACGAAGTCGCTCAGCCGTTGACCACTTGCTCGAGTTCAAGTGGAACCAACCTCCCTCATCGGTGCATGGGGGAGAGGCAACCAACAAATCAGGTGGATTGGCTTGCAAGAAGTCTTCTACATAGGTTCGAGTAGAGGCTTTCTCAAAATCGAATCCAGTTTTGATGTCATATGAACGACAAAACCCTCCTACTTCTTGGACAAAGGGTGCAAACCGAGGAGGATTGAAAACTTCTGCCACCATGAATCGCTTACCCTGAATCTTACTGCTGGGTTGCCGTGTCGAGTTTCGAATTTGTGAGCTCACTTGTCTCACTTGGTGCACGCTCAGGGATTCCAGAGGCATGTTCACTTCCTGAGGACGAAACATGTATTCGGTGCGAATATGCAGAACTTCTTTTGGGATTTCTCTGGCATAAGCTTGCTTCCCTTTCTGTGGATTGATGGGCTCATCGAACAGCACCCGGTTTGATCCTCTGTCGAAAACACGTCTGTGTACTACCGTGTCCCAGTTGGGTCCTTGTTTACCGAGTTTGGGCACATGAGTCAAAAAGGAATCTTCCCTGGACCAGGTTTGATATTTTGACGAGTCTCGGACTGGTGCTTTCATCTCATCCACTTGTCGAGTGTCCAGTGGAAGCTCATCGGCAGGCTCAGGCATGGACATGGAGGCCTTGGCGGACTCGGTGGATTGAACTGTCTGTTCATCAGCCAGCATGACTTCCTGGAACTCTTCCGGTGGATCAGTGATGGGTGCACTATCATCGATCAGGCGCACCACAAACTGACCAGCTTCATTGGTCTGCAGGGGGATCTTTCGTTGATCGGTGAACAGCGTCATGGTGCTATCCGAGAAGTTGATCACAGCATTCAGCTTCTGGAGGGCCGCTCTGGAGATCAGGAGCGGTGCGTCTCCTTTCACAATAGCAGCCCTGATGGAACCCATTCGTCCTCCCAGGACAACAGGCACTTGAACAGCTTGCTGTGACACTTCTTGCTCTCCGTTGCCATATTTGAAGAGGTTCTTCTCGGCAATGCGGTTGGGGATCGTCTGGTTTCGGTCCTTCCACAGTTGCTCGAAGGACTGGAGAGTTCGTTCTCCAATGATCGAGCGACCACAGCCCGAATCCAATACCCCAAAACCCGGGGAACTGACCAACAACGCTTCTTGTGATTGCTCAATGTCAACTTGTTCAACAGCAACTTGCTCAATGTCAACATGCTTTGACACCAATGTACTGTTGTCAACTTGCTCAATGTCACCGTGAACCAACAATGTACTGTCGTCGGTGTCCTTGTGCTTGGTGGAACTGTCAATCGGGAGTCCACGATCCCGGTTCTTTTGGTCTCGCAGGCGGGTCAATGTGGGCCAAAGAGGCATGACAGTTGCGATGAAATACTCGGGCACGTGTTCGACCACAGCAGCTCCCGTAGGCGGCAAGGATGTTTTGGACTTGCCTTTCCCTTTTCCTTTGGGAGGTGGTGGTAAGTGGCAATCTCGTGCCCAATGTCCGATCTGTTGACATCGGTGGCACCGTGTCTTCTTCTTCAGCTCGGAGACCTCGATTTGGAAGCTTCTCCTGACCTCACCAGCCTGTTTGAACTTCCGTTCTTTCTGAAGACGGTTCAACTCTTTCCTCTTGTCACGCCAGGTCACGGCAAGAGCCTCCGCGACCTCCGATTCGTCATAATGCTCATCGTCTTCAGGTTCTTCTCCTTCTTCTGCGAGTTGATGCTCAGCCAAAAACTGTTCCACTTCATGCATGGCCTCGTCGTGCTCTTCATGGTCAGCTGTGAGCTCTCCTCGATCGGTCTCAATCAGACCAGCAGCATAGGGCTTCCTTCGAGGGGTCACGAACTCGGGATAGCACGATCTCATGGCCTTGGCGATCTCCTCACGCTTCAACACTCCAAGCGACCGGGCTAGGCAGACAGCCTTCTGCTCATCATTCAACCCCGATCTATGGAGTATGATCCAGCCTCTGGCCTCCTCCGGGAAGGAGACATTCGTCTTCCTTTGGCATCGGTGGAAGAGCTCCGATGCCCTCGAGACCCAAGTCTTCAAGGTCTCCCCTTCAGCAGCTCGCAGGTTGAAGACGGCGGTCATGATCTCGCTCATCTCATCCGACGCTTCCTTGGCCGGGAAGCGAGCATCCAACAAATTGAACAACACAAGGTCTCCTCCATCCTTTTGATAGTCAGATGGATCCAGGTGCTCAACACATTCCAATGCTTTGCCTTGCAGTAGGGTGTATATGTAGGCACCTCGGGCTTTCGACGGAACCTTGTCAGCCATCGTCAGAAGCTTATTGGTCACCCAGACCTTCCAGCGTTTAGACTCCCTGGCGTCTTCCTGTTCACCATCGAAAATTCGGTATCCCCCATCCGAGGAGGATGATGCACCAGCCATGGCGCTCCTGTGCGAAAAAGCTCACGATCCTACGTGGAGCCCCGGTCCTGTGACCGAGGCTCCGCTACCAATGTTGATTCAACAGAGGTAGCAAGGAATCCTATCCAAGACAACCGGGCGCATCCTTTTCACCGCTTGAGGCAACGATGGTCCCTGCGAGACACGAATGGAGCTCCTGTGCAAAGTCAACATATGTATGCTTCTTCCACGAAGACGAAGACCAAATGTCACGCACCTATGTTGTTGCAAGAGGTGTGAATGAACGTGGGTCCTCAAACCCTTCCGACTGGTGAAAGCGAACTTTGGATACTTTTTTCGACTGGTGAGTCCGCTATTCAGCTGCCCTAGCCTAGCAACCTTGGTCTGTCGAAACCACAAACTGCAATGGGCAAAACCTGCCAAGGCTGTTGACGAAGCTCTGGTCAACCTGAAAACCGAGCAAGGGCATCTCCCAGGTCCTTTGCTTCATCATGATGAGCTTGATCTTGGCCTCGTCCTTCTTCTCCTTGGCGGCCTGAGAAGGGCACGATTCTTTGTGAGGATCCACCCAAAGTCTGTCTATCTGCTGTATCCAAATGGATCCAGGCTGCACCCTCTTTGCACCAACCAGGTCACCCTCCCATGGAAAGAACCTGACCTACTAACGCACCAGGTCACCTGACCTAACCTGGAAGATCATGAACGTGAACGACCCTTTTGATCTACAAACAGTGGGTGTTCCACTTCCAAAGTCACTGACTCTTAGTGGGTGGTGCCCTCCCGCCCTGCCCGCACCGATCGAATCGCACCTTTAAGGTGACCTCGGCAAAGCCTTGAAACTGGGAGAAGGCGTCGTGCCACTTGCTGTACATTACATGAAGCTGGGTCACGGCTTCCCAGTACCTGCACGACATCTGCGAGTGATGGGAGCTAGCAAATGGTGTTTGGTCGGACTGGAGCACTTGGAGACAAAATGGTGAGAATGATCACAAAAGCATGCAGCTCAACTAGCGGTTGGGGCGGCTTTCGCCGAACAACTTGTACAAGACTCCGGCTTCTCTTCTGGGCACCCAGCATGGAGAGAAGAAACTTCCCATCGATCGCCGACTCCCAACCGCCCTCGATTGGGTGCTCTGGAAAACACCGTCGTTCTTCGCATGTCTTCCCCCCCACAAAAAAGCCACGGCGCCTGTTCCAGGCCAATTGGGTGCGAAAGACGATCGCAAAGGTCACGGCCACACCCAGCGCTTGCAACCCTCGGGCCGCCGGGACCGTCGACGGCCAACGGCGCCAACCCTTCGACCGTTCGGCCCGTTCGGTGGCGACGGTGGGACTCGGTTGGGAGGTTGGTCATGGGAATGGGGGGAGAAGGCGATCTGAATCCGATGCGGTCTGAATGGATTCTCAGCCGCTAAATGAGTGGAGACCGGACAACAAATGGTCCAAATGGATGGATGATTGGGCCCCCTAAAAGTATCTCAGGATATGCCCTGAGGAAACCTATTACAAAGAACTCCATCTCTCTCATCCGGGATGATTGACCCGGGGTCAATGTAAATATGTTATACATGGCGCTGTCCTTGACCACCGCACCGCACGGGTCTGTGGTACCCCACATCACCCCACAACGTTCGTTCGTTTGACGTTGGGTGTTGAGTGGGACAGGTCATGAATACCTGGACCCAACTTCAACTTGGGACATGACCCTATTCAAGAAGGACATGTACCCATTTTACCTAGTACTTGTGGAGTACATGTAGTCACTGGAGGCTCTACCCAGTTTGACAAAGGCCATTGGACACCTATACAGGAGGGCCTTACGTCCGGCTTCCGATCATGATTGAGATACACTGGTGCCAACAATTCAGCGAAGACCTTGGAAACTCCTTATTACCCTTGCTATAGTGAGTATAGTGAGTATATCATTGAACATTTCCCATTTCTTCACCTTGAATCCCTTGTTCGCATCATGCATTGGCACAGCGAATCGCCGTTTCGAAAAGCCCACTGTACCTGCCCCGATCGAAGCAACGGCACCTTCCGCTGTTTTCCAGCCGAGCTCACGCCGAACTCACCGCGAGTCCGACCGTCGGACTGGGATTCGTAACGCAGCTGAGAGTCCATAGTGGTGCCCAATCTCCGGTTTGTTCTCCCAGCCACCTGGGGGAAGCGACCAACCCGCCTCGTGGTCTGCCCAGTCGAATTGTCTGGTGGACCACTTCGAGAGATGAGATGATGCTAAGGCTAACTGTGAAAAATTCACATCTTGGGAATCTTGGGGGTCAGAGTTCCAAAAGGCTGTTGACATCTCCTGACCCCAAATATCCCAAAGTTCATTTTTTCTTCTAGTTTTGGTGTGTTCAAGGTGCCAGTTTCATCTAGTTGCTACATGCTCTCACCTTGGACGAAACGTGCACAAGGTGAGTGTTTAAGAGAGAAGTCTCTATAGATTCTTATATACATATTTTTACTGTCTCCCGTTTCAAGTCCCTCCATGTGGCCCAAGCGTCTACTGTGCATATATTGCACGGCACCGCCCAGGAGCGCCACACAAAGCCCTCCCAGGAGCGAGTCCCATCGGTAGAACACGCTGCCCCGGCGATTCAAAAGCAACCAAAAGAAACCTCGGCTGGCACTCCAGGGCAAGCTGCGCACGGCTAGGCTGGCCGAGCTAGGCTAACGACGATATTGCAGTATGTAGTGTTGAAGGAGCTGCCAAGAACGTAAACATTACATTTAGCTAAAGGAGTAATTCCTACAAATTTGTTTTCCCCCACCAACCTTCAAAAGTTACCCTAGTTTCAGCGATTGAATTGAATACGTCAAACCTAGATCAATTACATACAGCATGTTCAATCGCTCTAAGGCAAGAACTCCCTTGGCCCTCGACCCTCGAAATTGAAAGCCAAAGCAGCCTTTATTGTCATACAGCAGCATCTCTCCCTTTCCATCCGCTTCTCACGGGCCAAACTCGTGACCTAAAACCCAACTTACCGCCCACCACCGTTGCTAACACTCGAGGAAGAGGGTGCATGGGGCGCGGATTGGGGGTTGAACCACGGATTGGTCCCTTGACGAACAGCACTGCACCTTCAATATATTATTGTGCTGGATTGTACTTGCGAATATCCTCCTTGCCCTAATATGTTTAGGATGGTTTCCAAGCTCAGTTTGAGCCAGAACTACATGCAAAGGCCAGGACCGAATCTAAGCAATCGGCGATATCTTGTGATAGCATGAGTAATATCACATAGGACTCTTTCACCAACCAGCCTGGAAGCGCCAGGCTGCTAGAATGATCAACCATTGCAGGCAACCTCAAACGATCGACCTCTCTGCACGCGTGACCGTGAGATACCTCATGTCCACTGTGAATGGATTCGGCGTTCACGTCTTGTTCTGGCATGGATTCTGGAGTTCTCACATGTTATTCGCGTCTGACCCGGAATTCGTCAAAGCACTGACGTGGTCTTTCGGATTTCATGCTATTCGCGTCTGTTCTTCTGGCTCGCCGGGACACTGGGACGAAATGTCCAACGCAGCCAGATTTTATCATTGGCAGATGCGAAGTGGCCAAAATCATACTGCAGCCGTGTGACAAAACACCCCAGCCATCGCTGATCACCGTCATATACACTCAGCCGCAGAAGTCGCGGCATACTAGGAACCAAATTGTGTTCCCTAATGTAAACGCGACGCCAAGAGGGGGGTCCCGGCATAGTCCTTGCAAAACTGTTGTTCCCCAATGTAAACGCGATGACTTGTGAATGTTTTTGGTGAGTTCTCCCCAACACAGTTCCCATGTATCCAAAACAATGTTCCCGCATGTAAACGCAATCAGACATGTCACTTTGCCATGTTGTAAACGGTTCAACCCCCCAAGTAAACGCTTCAAAAATTGAACGTCGCCACGATTTCAACATTTGAGATTATACCCTGAGGATCCGATATTGGAAAAAATCAATCTTACGATTGGTCCCAAATCTTTTTCAATAATATTGAAAATGGTCTACTTGGAAGCCAAAAACATCAATATCGTGATCAATATAATAATGGTCATGATATTGGTCGATATTGGTCAATATTGGTTTCAAAAATTGATCATGATATTGATCGTGATATTGATCATGATATTGGTCAATATTGATCGTGGAGATCCTGTGGAGTTCCTGTGGACTTCACCATCCTGTCGAGATCCTGTGGAGTTCCTGTGGAGATCCTGTGGAGTTCCTGTGGAGTTTAGAATCCTGTGGAGTTCCTTTTGACATTGATATTGGTCTTGATATTGATCGTGATATTGGTCGATATTGATCAGAAATAGTGATTATTTTTTCAATCTTCATTATTGAAAAAATCAATCCTACGATTGAAAACAATCAAGTTCAATATTATTGAAAAATGTTTGCGATATTGATTTTTTCAATATCGGACCCTCAGGGGTATACCGAATCTCTCCCAGCCCGTCCCCGAACATCAAAAAATATCAAACGTTTTCAAAAGGTGTTGAAACACCAACCTTGCGCAGGGGAAATCCTCTGGTTTGGAACAAGCGCCAGCCTCGCCGTCCGTGACGTTGGCGACGCCATTGACCCTGTCTGGCACCTCCGACAGGATGGCCTTCAAGGGGATCGGCACCGTCTTTTTCACCCCATGATGAGCGGCAGCCGGGTGTATGCCACCTAGCGCAGCAAAACCATGGTGAGAAGGCTTTACAAAGCAAAAACGTGTGGTGCCTGGAGAGAGCCGGCGTGTCTCAGGATGATCACCGCTGTCAGGCTGCTCGTCAGCAAGGCCGTGGTAAATCTGGCAAGTTGAAGCAGGCATGCTGGTTCAATGCAAGTGCAGACCACCGCGACATAGGGCACAGTGACAAACACAAAGGCATGCAAGGATGCAAAAAAGTCATTAAAGGAAGTCGCCTGGCCTGGCCCTCCTTCTCGTTGCTGACCACGGCTTGCAGCAGAGTGGATGCCAACTCAACTCATATCCAGCCATCAAATCTGCATGCCCAACCTTGCAGCCAAAAATCTGGGCAGAGACAGCGGCTTCTTCGCCCCAAACTGCAAACTGACTTACTTCTGATCCACAAAGCTAGAGACAAAGCACGTCCAAACAAAAACTGGTCTGCGTTTTTCCTGACTGATGCTTGGCCAAACCAAGAACGGCTCACTGCTCAATAACTTGCTCAAAAGTTGGTCAAATTTAACCATACGTTGTCTGCAGGTATTGCAACGCTCACAACCTCTTCTTGAAGTTCCTCAAGTTGCGAGAGCTTTCGCTTCACCCGGCCTCTTCGCTTTGCTGAAGCAATTTGCGCCACGGTCCGCAGGCTGCCTGCCTGGCAGCCGTGCGCATTACGCTCGAAGTGTAACCGTTGAAGTGTAGCAGTGGGGACAAGCCAGGACCCCTCTGAAATTGTGCCGCATTCTGGCGCAGCCTGCCTGGCCACAGGCTGCGACACAATTTCAGAAATTGTGTCGCGGATTCATTTTGATGTTTGATGATGACAAGCCGCGTGGGTGGAATATTTTGTCGGCCCGAGCCGGGAGGTATGCATCGTTGACCAAATTTGGACAGCTGCGCGACACAATTTCTGAAATTGTGTCGCAGTCTGTGGCCAGGCAGGCTGCTCCAGAGTGCAACTCAATTTCAAAGGCTTCCTTAAGTTCCCACAGTTGCACTTCCCAAACCTATATGGTTTGTTGTCGTTCCTTGAGAACGCGCAGTAGGGCCCCCTCTCGCCTTGACTCCTTGTCACATGAGCTTTCACCAAGGCATTGAGCACCTGGGTCCGGATAGGAAGCTCAAAATTTTCAGACAAACTTCGGTCACCAGATGGTACTTGAAACTTTTTTGTTCTCACATGAATCACTTTCGGTCCCCACTAGGCACTGACTTGTTGGTCTTCACCGCGCACTCCCGAACAGTGGGGTAAGGAAGTTGATCACTGCAACAAATGGGTTCTTTCGCAATCACATCCGCTGAACCAACAACTTGGGACCCGGTCCCTGCGTCAAAGACCAGGGCGCCGCCTTCAGCTCTTTCTTGACCACCAGAGTATTCTTCCCAAAGATTTCCTTTAACGGCAATACTTTTCGCCTGGTCGCGGGTGGCACCAGCGCGCCGGGATCAGAAGGTGAGCGTATATACGGCGTTGTTTGTCTTTGACGGCGACTACCTAAGACCGAGCAATTCTTCTTCTTTTCAGTACCGCCTTTACTCTATTCCCCGGCACCGGCGCGCCGGGATCAGCAGGTGAGCGTATATGTTGGCGTCGTTTGTGATTGACGGCGACTACCTAAGACCGAGCAATTCAGCGCAGCCTTTACTCTATTCAGCGGCACCGGCGTGCCGGGATCAGCAGGTGCGCGATGTATGTTTTAAACGTATACAGTATTGTATAATTTGTCAGGTTACTATAGTGGCAGCGGGAGGCTATGTTTTGAGGCTAGCCCCGGCGCGCCGGGACAAGAAGGTGACCACGGTGACCACCTATCACGGCAATTCTTTTCGCCTGGTCGCGAGTGGCACACCCGCGACCGAGCGAAAGGATTATGTTTGACTTAGAGGCCACGGTGAAAAAATAACAGTTGCTTGGTAGCTATAGTAGCCGTCTTACACAGACAACGCCAACATATATGCTCACCTTCTTGTCCCAGCGCGCCGGCACCAGACCTCAAACTTTAGCCGCCTGCTGTCACACGAGAGTAGTCTGGCACCGGCGCGCCGGGACAAGAAGGCGAACGTAAATGACGGCTACTAGCTAAGACCGAGCAATGATTCATCTTGTCGCCGCGGCCTCTAATCATTTCGCCTGGTCACAGGTGGCGCCTTCTGATCCCGGCGCGCCGGTGCTTGCCGGGTTACCCTGCCGCGCTGGCGCGCGAAGGTCAGCATCTAGGCTATCGATGGCCTACGCCAGAATGTGTCTTTGCTTGGCCGCCTGCACTCATATCGAGTATTGTTTGTTCAGCCTGATTGTCCCACCAGATCCACTCTCCACAGCTTTAGTAATCAGATTTTGTTTCCTCAGCTTCCTTCACTAAAAATGTTGTCCAGTTGTCCATGGTTGGAGTCATGAGATTTTGTTTCCTTCAATTCCTTCACCAAACGCTTTTTGTCCTCAGCTTTAGTCATCAGATGTTGTTTCCTTCAGATCCCTCCCCCAAAAATGTGTGCACAGTTTTGGTCATTTAGCTCAATTAGGTTTCGTTTCCTCAAACTCATTCACCAATAAAATTTGTCAAACTAAAGTGTTGATTTTTCGACCTTGGCCGTGGATATGCTAGTTTCAATACACGCCGTCGGTATGACACCAACAAAAACATATCTGAACATGGAAACAGATCTAAGACGTCACACGAGAAGTACTGAAATTGAGTGGTTGGCGTAATTAAGTTGCTTGCGAGAAAGGTAATCGGTAAATCTCGAGTTCCTATCAAACAACATTGAAGGGAAGTTTCTGATGACCGCGTTGGGCACATTAGGCCATCCTGGTGAACCACGTGGAACCTGACCGACCTGACACGTCTGCGTTTTGAACAGCTAAATCCTGCAGGCCTCGATGCGCGAGCTCCCAAAGCAGAACAGGAACATATCAACTGGGCAGTTTGCTTCACTCTCTCTGCTCAAGCCAGTCTGTGTCAAAACAGTCAACGTTTCAACATTGTTTCTCTCTAGGCTCTAGATTGTGGATGCCTGAGCAAGTAGCCCTCTCTTCACTAGGCCACCCGAACCAGGATATCATGCGCCCCCCCCAGGTGGTGTTGCAAGTCCATTGCAAACGCTGCCTTCAGGCGAGGCTGAGTCAGTAGGTGAGGTCGCAAAAGCGTTCTCCCGCTTGATCGAGAAGAGGTCGCTGCCGAGCTCTCGCCCCAGCCGGCGCTCTGCGCCACAAAGGCGGGCCGCTGCCACCGCTGCGAGCCCACTGTCTGCCTGCAGCCATTGAACCACCTTGCGTGCAGGAAGGCCAAATATAACGTTAACAAGAAATCAAAAGCGGCGCGCCTGGCGGCCACCGTGCTGCACCGCCGT